CTGCAGCCCTGGCTGGCCCTGGGGCATGCCAGGCTGCCCAGGGAGGTTTTGCGGATTAGAGTTGGCGTACTTGGCAGCCCGCTGCTTGATGAATGCAGCCAACAGCTGGGGGTTGGCGTGAAGGATACTAAGCACCTGTTGCTGCTGGAGGGGAGAGCTGGGAGACCTGAGAGTCCGCAAAAGGTTTTGTAAGGCTTGTTGAGACACAGTGCCTGGTTTGAGAGGGCTCACACCGACCTGGCCCAATCCTGGTTGGGGAGCCATGTTCAAGGGCTGACCATGTTGGGCCACTGACATCATGGCAGGCCTTGGCATCCCGGACTGTAGTTGTTGGGGCTGAGGCAATCCTCCTTGGGCCCACGGTGGCTGTTGTTGCATCCCAGTGGGCCCCATCCCTGGCTCCAAATGTCCACTGGGACCTCTGGCCATGGGAGGTGGGTTCATACCCATGGGGGCCATGGGGGCCATGGGGGGCATCTGGTGCTGGATTGGCCTTTGAAAAATCTGCACGTGGGCCATCTGGCGCTGCGTCTCAGCTGCCCTCTGAATCTGCATTGCTATTTCCACTGCTGCAGGCGGGGGCCCTGGGAGGGGTGGCTGAACCGTCTGAGGGGGGGTTGGAGGGGTCACCTGGCCAGGTGCTTTACCCTGGGACACAGGGCCAGCAGCTTGAGTCCTGGGCAGGTAGGGTGGCATGCTGTTGGGAGGGGTGGGTTGAGGCTGGGAAGGGGGCTGAGGTTGGGGTGTCTGCGGGGTGGTGGGCTGTTGGCTGGTCGGCGTGGTTGGAGTGGCAGGAGTTGGGGAGGGCAGGCCCTGCTGCTGTCCCACCACACCTGTCCGCTGCATGCTGGCCATCCTCCTGCGGAGCATCTGGGCCTGCTGGAGCCGGTGCTGCAGCTGCTGCTGCCGGAGCTTTTGCTTGATGTTCAGGCAGAACGGCACAGGGCACTTGTTCTCCTGGCAGTGCTTGGCATGGTAGCAGCAGAGGGCAATGAGCTGCTTGCAGATGGGGCAGCCTCCATTGGTTTTCCGTTTGCAACCCTTGGTGTGCTGCACAACCCGCTTCATCTTCTGGCAGGAGGGCAGGGAACAGTTGGCATTTCGGCACTGGCAGGCGTGGACCAGAGACTGGATGCAGCGCTGGATGCTCAGGCGGCGAGAGTCTCCTGGGCTCTGGGTGGCCGCAGCCTGCTGGTTGTTGCTCTCATCATCTAAGCCGAGACCTAGTTTCTCCATTTTGTGGTCATGGTTTTTAGTGTTATAGCAGGTGATACACAAATCATAATCCTGGTGGGGAAAACACAGGTGTAAGGTCAACTCTCTAAGGCTGAAGTCATTCAAAAGCACCTATATGTATAAAAGCCTAAGCAACCGTTTAACCCAGCCGTGGGCAAAATATGGCCCGCGGGCCGGATTCGGCCCATTTGAAATGAATAAAACTAAAAAAAAAAAAAAAAAAAAAAAAAAAAGACCATACCCTTTTATGTAATGATGTTTACTTTGGATTTATATTAGTTCACACAAACACTCCATCCATGCTTTTGTTCCGGCCCTCTGGTCCAGTTTAAGAACCCACTGTGGCCCTCGAGTCAAAAACTTCCACTGTGGCCCTCGAGTCAAAAACTTCCACTGTGGCCCTCGAGTCAAAAACTTCCACTGTGGCCCTCGAGTCAAAAACTTTGCCCACCCCTGGTTTAACCGGTGCTGTGACATGCACTGGTCACCAGGGGGCAGATGCTCAATGCAGGAGCTGCTGAGCTGTGACGACTTGGCAGCTGCGGTTCTGATACACCCGGAACCAGAGAGGGAGCCCGATTCTGCTGTGTGTCACCCAAGAACCACCCTCTTGTAATCTGGGACCCTTTAGGGCTGTGGTCGGCAAACTGCGGCTCGCGAGCCACATGCAGCTCTTTGACCCCTTGAGTGTGGCTCTTCCTAAGCCTAACAATATACCTACCTATATAGTTTAACTTTAAAAAATTTGGCTCTCAAAAGAAATTTCAATTGTTGTACGGTTGATATTTAGCTCTGTTGACTAATGAGTTTGCCGACCATTGCCTTAGGGGATGTCGGAGAACCAGTTCTGGCCTGATCCCTGCAGGCTAGGCTGAGGGACCCCACTGGTGCATGGGCCTCTAGTTTTACATATTCTGCTCGAGCTCAAAAGCCCCTTTAGTTCTATCACTCAAATATGAAGGCCAGGCCCCTGGAACCCACCTCGCAGACCGTGCAGTGCCAGCGCGTCTCCACGTGGTGCTTGCACTCGTTGCAGGTGTAGACAAAGCGGTCCTGGCTCTGGGTGTGCAGCTCCACCAGCATGCACATGGTGGACCACTGCGCTCTCCGGAGGGATGAGAACTCCAGGTGCTTGTCCCTGGCGAGGGTGAGAAAGGCATCCCGCCCATCCATCAGGTCGCAGGGGATGAGGGGGTCAGGATCAATGATGGGAGGCAGGGAGTTGGCAGCAGGGCCGGCGATGAGACGGATGACAAAGAAAACCTGCAAAACAGATGATCTCATTGTGACTCTGGAACTAGAGCACCGCATAGTGCTGGGTCAATAACAGTGGACAGGTGAGCCAGACTGGACCCCGTGAGGCCAATGAACACTGAGTCAGTGATACTGTCCCCTCCTTCACATGTGTCTGGTCTTTTTCTCTGAGATTGTCTACAATGGGCCTACAATCTACACCTGACCTTTTCTACCTTATTCAATAATTTCTTTAAAATAAAGAACAAACAGGTCAGGTACAGTACATGTACAGTGGACATTTCATCTCAGAAAAGTCTACTTTTAAGATGCAACCCCATGGTTTAATCTGAATCTAATCACGAGAAAAAAAAGAAAAAAAGAAATTTTACAAAACAATTGGCCTGCACACTTCAACCAAATGCTCATGTCATGAAAGAAAATAAGGCTGGGAGCTAAGGCATGGCAGCTCAACATACTCCTGAACTGGATCATACAAGGACCAGACATTATATAGTGACACTGAGTACGAAACCATCGCTTGGCCAGGCAGAGGTGGCCTTCTTTTTTAGAAGATACTTGCTGAAATAGAGATAAAGGAAATGTAGCAAAATGTTAACAATTGGTGACTCTAAGTAAAGGGTGTGGGAGGAGGTCCTTTATGAAACTTTCCTGTAAGTTTGAAACAACAAAAATGTTGATGGGGGTGGGAAAGATAAACAAAGCAAAATCTTATTCCTTGCTGTAGCAGCAGCAAATGTTTTGCTCATGGGAGTTAGAAAACACACAACACCCATTAATTCTCATTACCATTAGTGGAAAGGCTGCCATAAGAAGCTGGTATATATGTGTTTGAAATTAATTAGTATATAAACTATATACAATTCTTATTAACCTAATGAAATGTAAAATGGTACCTTCCTGAGACCAGGATGCTGTGAGCAGGTGCTGTACTGCCCTCTGTGCTGTGCCAGTTTCCCAGAGACTAAAGCCTGTGCAAACTAGCAGGGAGCCTCACAATAAGCTTGGGAAGCCATGTCCGCATAATACAAGTCATTTCAGATAAGATACACAGGAGAAGAGAACACACACTGAGTAGAGGCAAATACCAGATGCCGGAAGTTAAAAGCATAAAGGGAGGACTGTGATGGGTGTTTGACTGTGTAATATTGGGTTTAAGATTGTGGCTCAAAGGAAGCACTCATAAAGGAAGAAATAGCGTTTGAAAATGTGACACAGAGGAAAACACTGACTCTAACAAGTGGGGAATGCCTAACCCATTCAAAATAGAGGTGAACAAAAACCAGCCCGTGCCTCCCTAGGAAATTTGCACCATGGCCAACCCTCTAATAACAACCATGATTGATTCCATTGTATGCCACTCTATAGCTAAGACAGTACTGGAATTTAACCTGAATCGACCACCTTAGATTTTAATTCCTAACAGGTGGCTACTACTACCTACATCTTAAATAGTGGACACGTTCAATCTAAGTCAAATCACAACAGGACCTTTTCCAATTGCTCTGTTATATTAGAATTTTGTGACACTACATATTGCTCTAAATAGCTAATTATCATCTCAGAAAGGCACCCATTAGAAGTAAGAAATTCTTCCGTTTCATTAGCATGGCTGAGGCAGTGGTATCATCCTCTATCATTGCAGGCTAGCCTGTTGACCTTACTTCTTTAGGCTTCAACAAAGAAAGCATGGGGGTCCAGCTGGTGTGATTCAGTGGTTGAGCATTGACTTATGAATCAGAAGGGCACGGTTTGATTCCCAGTCAGGGCATATGCTAGGGTTGCGGTCTTGAACGCCAGTAGAGGGAATGCAGGAGGCAGCCAATCAGTGTTTCTTCATTATTGATGTTTCTATCTCTCTCTCCCTCTCTTGAAATCAATAAAAGAAAATTATATATACACTAGAGGCCTGGTGCACGATTTCGTGCATGGGTGGGGTCCCTCGGCCTGGCCAGCGATCAGGGTCCATTGGGGCCGATAGGGGCTGGCTGGTAGGCCCTGATTGGGATGATCAGGCTGGAGCGCTGGGGCAAGGGATCCGGGAGGTTAGCTGTGGGAGTCCACTGACCAACAGGGGGTAGTTCCTGCATTGAGCATCTGCTCCCTGGTGGTCAGTGCATCGTCATAGTGATCGGTCGACTGGTCCTAACGGTGGCTTAGGCTTTTTTACACACACACACACACACACACACACACATTTATATATGTAGATATATATAGAGATATATATAAAAAGGCATTGGGGGTAGAGTAGTGGTGTATGGGAAAAGATGCTTTCAAAAGCTGGATAGGTCAATACCACTACAATAAGTAACACTCTAAAGAAGGGTTCTGCCATAACCACTTCTCTCTTGGAGTTTGCTTAATTAATTTGGTTGTAATTCCATATTTAAACTCCAGCCTTCAGTTCCCTCCCCACATAATTAGTCACTTCCTATAAGAACTTGATTATGATGTCTGAATAGAGTTGAACTGTGACATTAAAAATCTAACATGAGTTACCCTTTAAGATTTCTCCTCTCACCAATGATGCTGCTGAAAGGAAAGAGAACCCTAACACACCCTACAACAAATAGGTAATTTAAATGATGAAATAATTCCGAAGTTTTAACTTTTCTAAGAGGTTACAAGTATATTTATGAAAGTTTAACTTTCCTTCTTCAATTCTCTCCACCTCCCAGTTCACTTTCAGGAAGGTCAACAGTCAACGTTTTGATTCATTTGTTTGGCTAAAGTCTCATTCCAGTGGTGGTCTAAGGAACTTGGTTTAAGACAATCTCCTGAACAATGGTGCACCAACAAGATAAACTATGCTTTCAAAATCCATTGTCATGTGCCACCTTACAACTGGGATATGTTCTAAGAAATGCATCATTATGCGGAAGTCATAGTGTACTTACACAAACCTAGACGTATATGCTATACTTCTATACGCCTGGCAGCACTGTAGGCTTGTTTATACCACATCACCATAAACCTGAGTAATGTTGCGCTATGACATTACACCAGCTGTGATGTTGCTAGGTGACAGGAATTTTTCAGCTTCATTATCTTACGGGACCACCACTGTAGATGCAGTCCACCACTGGCCAAACGTCAGAAGGCAGCACATGATCGTGTAAGACACAACCCAACACCATCTAGATTTATGACAGCTGGAACTCAAAGCATCCTTATTTTCCTGTTCTTATCACACACCCTAGCCATCCCCCCCTCCCTACTAATTCAAATGACTTCTTTGTTCTGAATTTCCAATCTGGGGCTCACACAGTACATGCCAACCATGGTGGGCAGTTGTTTGAGAAGTCCTGCCCTGCTTTTTTCCTATTCTTGGAGGCACCATCTTACCTCTTTGTGTTTCTCCATGGTGGCATACAGTTTCTGCGAGAGGTCGTTGGATACATTGGGCATGCCTGGCTTCTTCTTATTGCCTCTACTCAGGCTGCTCTTGTTTTTGCTGGTTTTCTTATTATTCTTCTTTTTAGCATTTTTGCTGTCTCCCTTTGTCACCTGCAGGATAGCAGAAAGGAGACAAGAAAATGTTAATGTTTTGTTAGGAAGTGATTGGAATAATGGTAAAAAAGATTCCTTTCTTTGAAACTAGAGATATTATGTCTTCCACCAAATGCTCTGTACTCTGTTTTTAAGCTGTTATTTACAGTAAACATTTTCTTTCATGAGACCCTTCATTATGGCAATCTTAGCTTTTGACCAGGAGAGCCCCATAGTTTGGAGACCCTTCAGATCCAGCAATCCTCTCCCAGAATTGAGGATAGGAAACAAGTAGTGACTCACAGTGTGGGGCAGTGAAGGGTGCATGGAAGTGGTGAGCCAAGGACCTAGACTCATTGCCTTATACTCACATTCTAGAATTTTATGGACCTACTTGAAAAAAAACTCTTGAAAAACATTCAATCAATGAATTTAAACAATAAGGCTGTAAAGAGTTCTACAGACTATTTAAGGATGACTTTATTAGGCCAAACTAAATGAGGGCAATTCTAGACAGGCTATGAGTAAACAGACTGGAAGAGCTCCTCAGATGATCCTCCTAAAAAACCAGGCTCTGTACACAGGGGACTAGTAAACTGTGGTCAGGCCTGTTTTGTTATGAAAAGGAAAAAAAAGCATCAGAGACAATACATGGCCCCAAATATTCATAATCTGGACTTTGACAGAAACTGAAGTTTACCAACCCCCTTCTAATTTTGTGTCAGTTATTCAAGGTTTCCTCTCTGTTTCCATGATCAGCTTCCATCCTGGAAATCCGAGATTCCACTGACAAAGGGGTCTCATGCTAAGGTCTAAAACCACAGAAACGGAACCTCGGTAACTTGGCCTGTATTTCTTGCCCAATTTAAAGAGGTCTTCCAGCCCCTGGCCAGTGTTGTTCAATGGATAGAGTATTGGCCCCGGATCAAAGGGTCATGGGATTGATTTCAGTCAAGGGTACCTACTGGGTTGCAGGTTCCCTGCCCCTGTTGGGGAGGCAACCAATTGATGTGGCTCTCTCACATTGATGTCTCTCTCCTCCAGCTCCCTTCCACTCTCTAAAAATAACCTCCAGTGAAGATTAACAAAGACAAAAATTAAAGAGCTCTTTCACACCTGAGAGCTGTAAGACCAAGTTGAAAGTTTACGCACACTTCTGGTTTATAGATGAGAATCAAGGTACAAGTTGGAAAGGAAAAGGAAAAGCCCTTACATCTGTGCTTTCATTACTGGTGTTTTCCTCTCGCTTCCTCTCTTCTTCCTCCTGTTCCAGTTCCTTAATGCTCTCTTCCAGAACATTGGGCCAGAAATCACCTTCAAAGTAGGGCAATTCCTTTGCACTTGTTAACCGATCTTCAGTAGCTTGTTTAAAAATATCCTGTGAAAATACCCATGCACAAAATGAAATTTCTATATATATATATATTTTTTTACAAAGGCATGTATTATACAAAAGCAGTCACAGCTAATGCACATACAAAACACCAAAGATTAAAATGTCTTCTAGTCCTGGCCGTGTGGTTCAGTGGTGAGTGCCTGCCTGTGCACTCAAGGGTCGTGGGTTTGATCCCCAGACAAGGGCATGTACCTGGGGTGTAGGTTCAATCCCCGGCCCTGGGGAGGGGTGCATGTGGGAGGCAACCAATCACATCGATGTTTCTCCCTCCCTCCCTCCGCCATCCCCTCATTCTTTAAAAACAGCAACAACAAAACAGTAGAAAAAATACCCTTCGGTTAGGATTACCAAAAAAGGTCTTCTAAAATGATGGCAGAGATTTTTTTTTTAAATTTAAGCACCATGTCCAGGAAGACATTTAGTGTCATAAATAGTAAAGGGCTATTTTAAGTTAGTATTTCTGGTTTTCTTTTTCCTCTACCCACGAAGGCAGGAAGATTATCTGTCTTTACATAGCCAAGTGGTAAATTATCCTGCCAGGAACGATAGCAGAGGCATCATCATTTACACATGGCTTTGACCACTCCTGATGACAAAGGCAGCGCCACGTGAGGCACGCCTGCCTCAGACCCATCCTTGGGAGTTCCAGCAGCTTTCACTGAGCAATATGTTCAACACAAATACCAGGAACTGAATGGCTACAGAGATTCTGTTGTGCTGCTGGGAAAATACCCAGCTAATGATTTCCTCCCCAAGAGTAAAAACAGGTACGAAATTCAGTACAAGTTCTTATTTTGAGAGACCCTATTATTAACAAATGGCTTTTAAGAATACATTCTTAAAAGGTATTCATTTTAAGAATCTTTAAAACAGAAATTTGTTGATTTAAGACTCTTGTTTTTCTTACTTTGAAAAAGTTTGACTCTAGAAAAGAGAATATTAAACACTGATATATTCAACTGACTAGATTTAACAGTTTTTAAACATTTTGCCAGATATAAGTCATCTTAATAATCCAAGCAAAATAAAAACACTACAAAATCAGCATAATTTTTTAAGTTACATGGAAGAGGGAGAACACATAGCAGCTTTTTAAGACAGTTAAGTGACAGAACACAGAGCAGGATCAGTGAATTTCCTCTTCTATCACTCCCCCCACTCCTCCTGACCTTGTAGTCATGGACAATTCGCTCCGACACGGACTTGTCCAGCATCTTTTTGTACCACTCCTGTAGTCGCTTGGGCTTGGGTATCTTCTGGTCAGGCGGATGGCAATGGAAAATATAGTCGTCTCCTTCACTTGGGGGACATGCCCAAATATGCCCTGTTGTATAACTAACAATACAAAGAGAAGGAACATTTAAGAGAAATGATCATTCAGGGAAGAACAACACACTAAACTACACGGTGAAGTCAAAAGGGAAACCAATGATTCGCCCTCAAGACAATACAAAGTATATAATCCAGCATTAGGTCCCAGTTCTTAGGCCAGAACTAGCATAACCCACAGCAGTAACAATGGAGCTCACATTGCCTAGTGCTTCGTAGAGGTTTCACAGAGGCTAGTTCTTGGGGGATCCCAAAACCCCAAATTTGCATTTAAAAATCAAATGAGGCCGAAACGGCCCTGGTGAGGTTGGGACAGATAATGGGGACCAGTGTAGGCTGATGAACACGGGTAGATGCAGAGGCAGAGCAGCACTGAACAGACTGTCAAACTACAGTGGGAAACCTGGGGAGGGTTTGGGGGGGGGGGGGGCGGCGGGCGGTTAAGAGATCAACCGAAGGACTTACATGCATGCATATAAAAATAACCAATGGACACAAGACACTAGGGGGTAGGGGCCGGGGGAATGTCAAGGGGGGGAAAAAAGGAGACATATGTAATACTTCAAGAAATAAAAATTATTAAAAAAAAAAAATCAAATGAAAGCTTCAATGCAAAGGGAAACAGATCCATTTTGATAAGAAAGCTAAACAAAATGCAAGTTGTTAACAGTCTGCAAGGTGAGGTGTAAGGAACCAGTCTGACAAATTTTCATCTCCAGACCTTTGTTTTTGGTTTTGATTCTTAGGTGTAAAAGGATCAATGCAAATGTTAAGATTCTGATCCTAAATGAGTAGCAATCAACTCTGAAATAAAACTGTACCAAACAGCTTAACTGGACAAAATAAAACTAATCTGGGATGGGTGTAACATCAAAGCTCTCCAGCGAAAGTGAGGTTCCAATTCTATTAGATAAAAACCAAAGCTGAGAAAAAAGGGCAAAAAGTCATATATTTGTATATTTCCATTTATATCTTACCACAATACCACAGTGGTAATTAATTTAAACCATTTTTTAAAAATGCCATTTGTTATTAATACGCTTACCCTAGTTTCTTGACATATTCTAAATATCCAATTAGGATTTCATAATAGACTGCAGTCCTCAAGCATTTCGGGCGGAAAAAGTGAACACTGTCGAGGTATGATATGTATACTCTCCTGTAACAAGTGGGGAGAAAGAAACCAAGTCAGGTCATCACATGATTTCTTACCAATGCGGCTAAAAATACATGTTCTCTCTCCGTGTTTTTTTTTTTTTTTTTTTTTTAAGTATATTTTATTATTTTTTACAGAGAGGAAGGAAGAGAGAGATAGAGAGTTAGAAACATCGATGGGAGAGAAACATCGATCAGCCGCCTCCTGCACATCTCCTACTGGGGATGTGCCCGCAACCGAGGTACATGCCCTTGACCGGAATCGAACCTGGGACCTTTCAGTCCGCAGGCCGACGCTCTATCCACTGAGCCAAACCGGTTTCGGCGTCTCTCCGTGTTTTTTAAAGCTCACCTTGTCAACATTGTATTATTGTCAGGTATTTAAATGACTAGACTGTGAACCCTTTAGGGGAGCTTAGTGAGCCTAAGGCTCTATTATAACCTCAGCAC